TTAGAATGGAAAAAGAGTACTTATATTTATAGAAAGATCTATAATGTTATTATATCCATGAATTAAAACTCCTGAATAGTAAAATATTTTTTGAGTATTTTTAATTTATGGAATCGAAAATGCAAACCTATTAATTATAAAGAAAATTATAAGTTTATTTAATTATCACCTACAAGCTATTATTGGTTATTAGCTTACCATTACATGACTGTTTGATAAATAAAATCTGAAAATTCTATAAACTTAATTGAGCTTCAATGGGGTTGTTGTTTTGTTTTTTTATTTACTTTACTTGCTTTTTTAAATAGAAAAATTTGTAATTATTCATTCATCCTACAATAACTCACTTCTTTAAATATGTATGAAGAGGATAAGTTACTCAACTTTCTATCGGGTTTGTTGTCTTAGGCACAAGCAGAATTAAGACCACGAAAGGTGACTAATTTGTCTTCGGCAACTGCTGTCGCCGAGAGGATGGTTGACTTCAAGACAGGGGTTTGTTGCGCCGCGGCCCCTTGAGATCGAAAGCAAAGGGTAAGTGGGAAGAAAAGAAGAAAATGAAAAAAATTGATGGGAGAGGATTCAAGCCTGCCAAGGAGGGTAAAGACAAGCAACCAGATGTGCTGGGCAAAGAGTCCAAACTAAATGCCAGGTGTTTCATTTGTCGGGACCGCATCATGCAAGAGAATTCTTGCAAAGACAGAAATTAAATGCTAACGCCATGCAAGTGCCAAATTGCTTGGCTATTATTGAATCAGAGGATTTGATGGATGAATCCAGCTCGTCAAAATTAATTTTTTTAATATATTTTTAAATAAAAAATACTTTAAAAAACAATTTATTAAATTTACTCTAAGCGGTCCTTTTGCGTATCACATCGCAACACGTTCACTGTATCCCCGGCATCTTAGAAACGACATCGTCTCCTCGATCGATTGATCCAGATAACAATCGTTCTTTCGAGAAGGGCATTGATTCCAATCGTTGCCAGTTGGCGTATAAAAACGTAACACGTCCCTTCTGGGTTTTCTTGGCTTTCCCAAGAATATTTAAAAATATATTTCTATAAAATATCATTATAGGAAGGTTCCTAATTCACAGTAAGCTAGTGATTGTTTCTGTGTTTACGTGTTTTTGAAAAATAAAAATATTTTTTTTTATTTTTAAATTATTTAATATAATAATATTAAAAAAAAAATTTTGACAAATTTTTAAACAAAAACACTGAAAAATCACAGACGCTATCATCAAATCCAAAGAGAAATCCACTCTAGTTTTTAAACCTTTTCTGATATTAACAGAAACAGAGAGAGAGAGAGAGAGTGTAAACATCAATATGGCAACCTTAGAGAAGCAAGTGATGGTGGTTGGGGTTGATGATAGCGAGCACAGCACATACGCTTTGGAGTGGACTTTGGATCACTTCTTCACTCCCTCTCAGGGTTCCAATTCACTTTTCAAGCTAGTTGTTGTCTATGCCAAACCTTCTGCTTCCTCGGCCGTCGGATTTGCTGGACCTGGTACCTCTTTATTTATTTATTTATTTATTTTCCTCTTTCCTTTTTCAAGAACTATATTCAATATTTTCTCTCTGGCTTTAAGTGAATAAAGTTGCTTTTCTTTTTTGTTTTTAGGGGCTGCTGAAGTTTTGCCATTTGTGGAGTCGGACTTGAAGAAGATAGCTGCTAGAGTTATTGAAAAGGCAAAGGGAACTTGCACCAGTAAATCGGTAAATCATCATCTCTTGTTAACTAATTCCATGCTTTATAAAATCGATCTGTTAATTCCTATTATTTCATCTAATCGAATGGGGATGCAATCACTATTTAAATTTTGAAGGGAAGTTTGATTAGGAAAAGAAAAACTTGTGTTGAATTTAACTTCAATCTATTGTAAGAAAATGCGTCAACTACGGTCCAAAAGAGAGAAGAAATGAGGGCATAATTTGTTATTTGGATTGGCTTTGCTTAGTGAAAGCAGGTATACATGACGACTTTTTTCCCTGATATTTTGTGCTGCATCTAGCACTCTGTTGGCTGTTTTCCTGATCATCGCAGCTTCTCTGCAGGTGAGTGATGTGGTTTTTGAATTGGTGGAAGGTGATGCTAGAAATGTTCTTTGCGAGGCTGTAGACAAACACAATGCTTCAATACTGGTTGTGGGAAGCCATGGTTATGGAGCTATTAAAAGGTCTTGATTTTAGCTTTCCTTTTCCTTTTTATTTTTGGAATTACCTAATGGAACTATGAAACCCGATACCGGGTACTCTCGATCTTTTATGAATATAGGTTGCAGATATTTAACAAGGTATGTTATACACTGTACTCTCAAATTTTACATATGCCTTTTTTAATAGTGCATTAATCTAGCTTTTAATCCTGAAATGACATTGGAATCCTGAGGCTATATATCGTTTCCTGTTAGATATTCAGTGTAAACCGTTGAAAGGCTCTTAGGAAGCTTGGCCACGGCTCCTTTACACATTGTTTTGTGCTGTCCAGAGCACTTGTTTGCCTGCAGAAAGTTTGTTTTAACGTGTTTTCATATTTCTCTTGCAGGGCAGTTCTAGGTAGTGTGAGTGACTATTGTGCTCACCATGCTCACTGCACTGTCATGATTGTGAAGAGGCCTAAGATCAAACATTGAGATGATTTAACTGCTTCCAAATTAACAATATTCAAACAATGTAATTGGTCATTGTTGTCAAATAAACATATGGGATATACCGTTGTGTATTTCATATGCTGCGTGGTAATGTTATAGGACTATTTTGTGTATGATGCTATTGTTGCTACTCTGTATCTATGTTTGGGTCTGGGTTAAATTGATAGTTGATGTTTGGATTACTGCAAAGCTGCTCCTCCTTCATGGTTGTTATCAGTGTTAACTTTCATCATTTGTATCTCTCAATTTTACCCGTACTTCTACTTGAGATTTTTTATTCATTCTACCCTTCGATGAGTGCCATCAATTTTCCATCCAAACCTGTTAACAAAATCCATTAAACAGCCCTGTAAACTCCATTAAATTTAGGCCATCCATATAATTATTTTGTTAGGTTATCTAATTTTTCATATAACTAATTAAAACCCTCAATTTTTGCAATCTCTACATGCTCAGCTACATCATTCTACTCGGGTTGGAAAAAAACTCGTAAACCAGTTCTTGTTGTCATGCTGCTGCTGTCATCAGCCACTTATGGACCTCTATAGTGCAACTCATTCAAAAAGTAGGTTAAAAATCACTTCCCAAAACATTTTTAATATACTCTTAATCTCGACAAAATTAGTACTGGTCATTAATGACTTATTCTACACCAAACCTTTAATCACATTATTCAATCTCTTCATCTTCTCTTGCTTCTCCTTTTCTTACTTCTCCTTCTCTACAAATATGAAATAAACAATATATTTTCACTTTTGCCTTCAACAATTACCCTCTTCCTTTTCCTTCTAGGCATCAATATTATATGCACTTGTTATATAATAGGTTTTATGTATTGCGTCTTCTATCAACATTCATATCATGTTATTGTAGTTTACTTAGCTGTATATGACATGTATCTATATTCATAATATCACATCAAATATTATCAAAAAATATCTCTTGCTTGTAGAAAATAAAACGAGACAATATTTGTCCATGATCACTCTGCTGTCTTCATTTAGCCATTTTGGTTTGTAGGATGTGAGCATGTGTTTTTCTATTTTAAGTTGCAACTTCTCTACGGCTCTGGCTTATTATATATTCTTGCATCTATCATTATTGATGATCAAATTGCATACCTACTCAATTACATCTTGAATCACTCTTAAAGAACATAATCTTTCAGACAACTACTATAGTGTATTGTAGTATCACTATCCTTATACAGAATCTATTTATTATTATCAGAATTATCATAAAACAGGATCGTCCATTGCATCCATAGGCTCTTCTATCAACATAATCTTTCCTGGATGACCTTTTGATTTGCTACATTCACTAACCTAAAGCCCCAATCCACCATAATTGTAACAACAAATCCTGAAAACTAAACCAAAACTCTGACCTGTTGCATGTCGAGTTTGTTGAATAGTTCTACCTTTGGGGAGAGCTTGGTTTCGGATTATTGTTGGACCCTTCTTTGTTGTAGTGATAATAATATTTAAAAAAATATATATTTTACATTATCACAACATCAAAACTAAAAAAAAAGAACACAATCCCAGACAATAGCCAGATAATTTTTAAATCCAACAGGAGAGCAGTAAGGATTATCCAGACTATCCGAGCAAGGGAGCAGCAGACCTGGAGGCAAATTGTTATAACATCTAACTTTTACAGCTCAAAAAACAATATTTTCATTGAACTGTATGCCCACGGTTCAGAAATCTCATCCAAAGCCATTTCTCTCGAGATGAACTCCAGAAGTGATGTTTTACTAAGTGGATCGAATCACCGAGCTGCTAAGTCTCCTTCCATGAATGGAGACCGAAAAAACATAGCAAATGCGGGCGCACTAATTGTGGAATTTCTAGTTCGAGTTCCACTACTACTTCGATGGAATACAGAACCTCGTACAACAAAGATTTAACACAAGCACACGCCTACAAGCTAAGCTAAGATAACACAAGTTCACAGAAACAAGATTGTTGAACTATTCTGCTTATCGTACGCTCGTTGTTTTAACATATTACAATTTATTAGTTAGACAATGAGTTATATAAAAAAAATCCAAACATCATGTTGAAAACAAGACACAATTCTTTAATTAAAATTGAGCATTACATCATCAAAAGAGACAGCAATAGCATGGAAGATTAAAAAAAGAAAAAACACATGACAGAATTACAAATAAACACAACCAATTCAAATTGTTCACGGTGTTTTTAATTAAAAATACCAAGAATATTAACATATCAAAATAATTCAAAAAGACATCTTAAAAAAATGTCAAAATCATTAAAAATACACTTAAAAAACATCAATTTAATCAATCTTTTACGTAAAACACTTCGAAAACCACATTAAAATAAGTTAAACCATAATGCGAGAGAAACTCTAAATTCTAAAACAAGAAGCATCAAGTGTACAATGGCCAATCAGTCCAAGCACCGGAGACATGCCCATTTTCACAAACATAAGCCCGAACAACAGGCTCACCGTCATCATGATACCCGCACCCTCTCTTCAAACAAAACGCAGAATTCAAATCCCAAGTCTCCTTACACTCACAAAACGCACAATTCAAATCAGTCTTGCTCCTATTCCCATCATGCACCGTTCTCCAAACCCTAGATTTCTTAAAATTCTTAAAAATCCCTCTAAACAACATATAATTCCTCTTCTCTTCAGTGTGAACACAGCCGGGCCAATCACAAATGTACAAGCAATCCCCTCGAAACCGACTCGCTAATAGCTTATTCCCTTGTTCTCTGCACAAATTCCAAACCCCAGATGCCAAATGAGACCTCGAAGATCTACAACAAATTTTCCTTCTCTTGCTTACAGAAAAATCGAGGCCTGCTTTGTCAACAACATCAATACTTTTATCGTCATTATCACCGATAACATCTTCATTCGTTTCACAGCTAGCAGCAGCCCCATCCTGTGATTCAGATACGTTGTAGACGGTGTCGTAATATAAATCGTCAAATAAGGACCAAGATGAATCGCAGTTTTCCAAATTAGAACAAGAATCAGACGCTTGTTGTGGTTGGTGGGGTATGGACGGTGTGGTTTTCGATTTGCGGAAATAATCGTCGGGGCCAAGCTCGCGTTCCAGGCCAAAATCGGAGAGCTCGAGAAGGACGCCGGCGTGGAGGAGGCCAGGGCAGCAAACGGCGAGCTTGTAGAGGGCAGACCAGCCGCCGGGGAAGGAGGAGTCAGGGGAGGGGAGGAGATCGGCTACAACAGAGGGGATGGTTTTATGGCACTTGGATCTCCAGCAGATGTCGCGTAAAAGAGAGGAGAATCTGGAGCAGACACAAGCGAGGCGGGCCCAGTTGCGTGGATCGTCTTCTAGTTTGGAGAGGATGTTGAGGACGACGTCGTCTGAGAGTCTTGAGAAAACCGCGGTCACTGTCATTTCTTTTTCCGTTTGCTAAGTCGGAAAATGAAAACAGAGGAAGCCGGGGGTGTTTTCGGTAAGTACAATCTCTCATCCAATTGTGAATTTGAAGGAGAATGGTTTCCTCGAGGTAGAGAAGAGGTTGGTGTGGTGATAGAATCAGGTGGCGATTCGCGATTGGTTTTGGAGATTAGCTATTTATTGATGGATGGTGAGGTGACACGACTCCACTGTTTAATCCATCCACTGCCTGCCACCCTCATTCTTATGCTATTGCATTTTTCCAATTAGTTTAATCAGCCAGGGCAGTTTATTTTTTTTTCTTGAGAGGGGGTAGCAGAGGACCGATGAATTTTGTAAAGGGCTGCTCTATAGAGGGCATCGCATTCTGTAATTTGAGCTTGAAATGTGAATTCAAATCGTGTTTGAAAGCGTTTTTGTAATTGTTTTTTAAAATATTTTTTTTAAAAAAAATATATTAATAATACCTTTTATTTTTTAAAATTTATTTTTGAGAATAGAAATAAAAATAATTTTAAAATATAAAAAATATTAATTAAAAAATAATTTTTTAAAAAAATATTAAAAAAATAATTACAACACAGTGAAATGACTCAGCTCGCACCACTCGAGCCCGTGGCATGAGCTCCTCATTTAATGTGTGGTGGCATTCATTCCATAAATCGCACGACTCCAGCACCACAGCAGGTGGCATTAAAGTTCTGAAGATGATTGGAAATGTAGTTGTAATTATTTTTTATTTTAAAAATATATATTAATAATATTATTTTATTTTTTTTTAAATTATTTTTAATATAGTATATCAAAATAATTTAAAAATATTAAAAATATATTATTTTAAAAATATTATATTATTTTAAAAATATTTTAAAAAAACACACCCAAATAAGCACACACCGTATCGTATTTTACCGTGTGCAAGTAATAATGATATAAAGCGAAAAAACGAAGCAATTCAAATTTTTTATAGAACTCGGGTTTTACCATGTGTTTAGAATTGCGTTCAAATCGTTAATTCTCAAAAAATATAATTTATTTAAAAAATAATTATTTTATTAGTTTAAAATTACGAATGCCCAGCACCCAAAGTACAGATTCTGTGTCAGAACACAGATTCTATTCCAGAGCACAGATCTACCTTTGCGGTGCGGACATACCATTATATACGCTCACCTTTTCAATTTTTACCAGCACCGAGCAACCTTAGTGTGATCTAGTTCCACACCTTGTTTGGGGTGTGCGTGTGCGGGTATGGTGGAGATTCCATGAACAGGAACCTCTATCCAAGCAAGAGAGACTTTAGGCCTACCGCTTTGCCACCTATAGTGGATACTGGATATGTATCAGCAAAACCCATCCACGCACTAACACCTGCCCACCATTTCACCTAAATGCCATACACATGGGGTCCCATTCACGTGTCGGTTCATATTTGCCTGCTGCAGCTTCAAGAAAGAATTATTCCCCAGCATCAATCAGCCTCTAGACACACACACACACACACACAAAAAAAAAACACAACCCTCTAGGCAGGCTTGCCAAGGAGCCATCGGAAGTCGGAACTGCTTTGACAGTCACTTCCGTGTTCAAAATCCTTAGCTGTGATTGACGCCTCCCATGCAAACATCAAATTCGTAAAAATCATTTCCAGGAAGCAAATCCCAGCCAAAAACACTCTACAAAGTTGACCCAAAAAAACATAGCCATGCATGCATATTCCTCCTTGTTAATATCAATCCTTCTGAAAGGTCCAGGAAATATAAGCACGCTTTAACCATGCCATCGCACATGTTGCGCCACCGTGCAAAGAAAAAATGAGCAAAAGCAACCCATCCAAATAACCGAGAATCAATTATATTATAGCTAATAAAATCCAATAAGTAAACGATAACAATTCAAACATACAATCCAAATCAGGCCTAGGCACAAGAATCTGAACATAGTGCACTTGGTAAAATTAAAACATATTGTTCACGACTCTTTTCCTTGTGCATTGTTCACCAATTACTTATTCATTCAAAAGTTCAAACCACATACTTTCAGCTTCCCTGAATCCGTGTCCATAGATAAACCATTATCACCACCTCACCTGCCAACAAATTTGCAAATACAAATTCAATACTCAAGTACAATAATGGGTCACCAATCAAAACATCTTGAGAATAACATGTTTCAACATCAGTAACTAAGAATAAATCGGCAGACGAGAATGAGACCGTGATAAACTCTTGCTTCTGCTTCTGCTATCCCTGGGGCTCCTGCTAACACTGCGCTTTTTGGGGCTTTTGCTAATGCGTTTCTGATGCAGAAGAACATCAATATTAACCTAAAAAAATGATATAGTGTGCATGGCAAGCAGGCACAACTACAGTGACTAAAACCATAGATTGGTTATTGACCGGCAAGGAGAACTAGTGCATTCAAGTGGCAGGTGGAGAAGCAAAGCCTACATTATTATTATATTACCAATATGATGAATGGTCAAATTCTGTTATGCTGCTTGGGAACTTCATCTTAAAAGCAATTTTATTCCATGGTCAAGCCAACTAGGAAAGACAACAGCTAGCGCAAGATTATCCACTAAGAAACAGGTTTCTTCATATCTGCCTAAACCTACATGAGAAATAACTTACAGATGGAATTGGAGATCTTGATCTTGAACGGGATCTGCAAAAGTTCCAGAAACAACCCAAATTTAAAATCCACACGTTCCTTTTAACAACTCTCATCCAAGAGCCTTGATGCCTCTTCCACGTCAGAGTAACCACATTCATAAATGATTATATGAAAGGCTATAAACTTTAGCAATTCAAGAGAGCCAAAAAAAAACAAAAACAAATCAGGCACCATTTCATAAAAATGAGACCTCAATAAAATAACTAATAAAAAAATTAATACATATCAATTAAAGAACTATAATGTGTTTGCAGACACCATCTGACAGTACAGAGGCATGCTTCCCTGCTGTACAGGAAAATCCACAACGAGTCCAGCCAGCGGGTCCTAATAGCTTGGCAATAGTTGGAGTAGAAAAAGATAATGATAGTTTCTACCGCTCAATGTTGACCAGACTTCCAGATCCACTGGCAGTTAGTTCACTGATATCCAGCCTTATTATTGCAATGCATAATCTCCTTTGTTCCCAATCTAGCACCCATGGATATTATGATGCTAAATACATTAGAACCGTGACACTATGAAGGTTTCCAGAGCTGCCATCTGAAAAACAGCATACCTCTACAATTGAACCATATCCCATCAAGATCCTAATATCCAATCCCCATGTCACTGCAATATATCAAAGAAGGCAATTTTCATACAGTAAAAAGAAAGAAACTAAAGATGGTTTGAAAATCCGAATTGTTTTCCAATTACCCCATCCACTCATTAAAACAAGTCAATAAAGTGAAAAAGGTTTCAGACAATTTCAGAAAGAAAAATGAATCCCAAGATAATACTTTTTAAATTCAAAATCAAATCCCCTCTCAAGCACATTTCTACAACTTACCCACAATTTGACCTGTAAAAATAACCTACAGGTAAAATTACCATAGCTTTAGTAATTATGAACTTGTAGCTGCAAGGCACAACTTGTTATGCTGCTGCTGTTGTGGGTGTGGGTGTGGGTGTGGGTGTGTATTATTTGACTGAAAGTTGAAGCCAAAAAACTACACAGGCAAGGTCAGGTGGTTTTGAAAGTTGAAGCAAAAAAACTACACGGGCAAGGTCAGGTGGCAGGACCAATAGAATGAGTGCAAGCGACCACTTTGTAAAACATAGTTAATTTAATGCAAACATGGAATAACTCCATCACAAATCAGAAGCTTTTGAAGCCACAAAGAGTAAAGCGCATCTTCTTGTGTATTGCTCTCCCCCTCTCATACACACACCAAAAAATAAAATGCATGTTAAAACATAAAAGTAAGAATCAGAACCTCAACAATTAAGCACAAAATAATTAATACCTTGATAGAGAGCGTGCCCTTGACCCAGAGCGAGAAACAGACCTAGATCGAGACCTTGCAGGTGATCGACGTGTAGATTTGTTTTTAGGAGACTTGCTGCATAACAATGTTAAGGTTGAGAAACAACTGCACACCAACTTATCACCAAGACAATTGTTACACACAAACCTTCGGCTTCTGCTCTGACTTAAACTTCGACCGCGGCTATCGCTGCGGCCTCTAGAATGAGATCGACCATGACTAGGGCTCCTAGACGAGTCCCGTTTGGAATCATATTCCCTCACCTGCAAGTAAAATGAGAAATATGAGTAACACTAACACATATGCATGCATGGGTGAATAGAGGAAGAGGAATTTAAACCATACACGAACATATGCCCGAGAAAATGCATTTCGAAACTCAGAGTCATCAAGCTTCTTAATCTGCAGAGGAAAACAAACCAAAGAATCTGATATGATAAAAACATTGAACCTGTTGGGAAAGTTCAGAGATTATTCAAACTGTCAATAGAAAATCAGAGAGATAACTCACTGCATATTTCATGTCTTCATAGTTAGTGTAATCTACAATTCCTGTAGTGCCTAAAAACAACAATAACACAGCAACGTGCAAAACGTTAATCCAGCATTACTCACTCTTCTCCAAAACCAAGTCCAGCAAACACCAGTTTAGAGAAATTAAAATAAACATTATCACATCTAAGTCAAAAGATTTGGACAGAACCAAGGTATAATATAAGTTCAAACTGGTAAAGGAATTACTGAATCTAATTCAATATAATTCAGCTAATACTTGATATTTTCGTCTACATCCAAATCCTAAATAATTTGGTCATCCAACAGATCTTTCGTGTATCCAATCAGATTACTAGAAGTGCATGCCTGATTTTCTAACAAATGGATTGCTGGTTTCAAATTAGAATGGGATGGCCAGATCAAAACTTCTCTGCAGCACACTACCCAACCAATTAATCTGGAAACATATTGGATTTTTATAATCCAGCCCAGTGACAGCCCTAGCATCAATAATTTCAATGAGCAGAACCAAAAGAACAGCCCCAAAGCAAACTATTTTAAACGTCCTAATCCTCATTACAAACTCAAGTTCATTTTCTCAAAATTAAAAAGAAAGCAGGAAAGAAAGAAAACAAAGTATGTAAAATCTGTATCGAGTAGAAAAAACATAGCACATAAGCTAGCTCCACAGGAGCCATTCCAAGCAAATTAAAACAAGAATATCATGAATACTGGCAGTATATCCGTACCACAGATATAAGTAAAGACTCAAATGTCTTGAGCATCTTACCACTACCATCACGGAACACTTGGGAGAAACAGACATCTCCTGCTCGCCGCATGTGATCCTAAAAATTATATGTGACATAAAAGTTAACCCTAAGTAAGAAACAACACTGGGAAATGACACCATCCTAACTTCAATACATGCAGATGGAAAGGGAAGCAGGTGCGGCCATGGAAGGAATATTGCCAAGTGCTGATTTAAAGAGAAAGGACTTTGGGCCCACCTTAAGGTCTTGCCATGAAGCAGAAGAAGGTAACCCAGTGACTACAACTGCATGGTGAAGAAAGCCTCAAATTAAAGACACGATGAGCTAACTAGTTTACTTATCCCTTTTATAGCATGCAGCATGGTACAAAATGCATTATATGTACTACACACCACGATATTCAGAGCGCCTGGATACTCCACCACGCCCACGACCACCACTATAGCTACTATGACGATCTGAGGATGAATGTCCACGCCCACCATGTGCAAGTTCCACCTATATGATAGGTGTAAGATCATAGGATGCACGAGTCTCAACTCACAACTAACACCTAGCTGGCAGCTAAAATAATTACAATAAATAAATAAATTGCTAACCCTTAAACGATGCCCATCAAAATCATAGCCATCACGACCACGAATTGCATCCTCAGCATCTCGAGCCTCTTCAAACTGTGAAAAAAAAAATTGAAGGAAAGTTGAAAACCAAGTACAAATGAAAAGAACGTAGAAAGCACATTCCCAAAACTCACCTCAACAAAGGCATAGCCAGGGGGTCTTGGTGGGATCTTCAGATCAATGTGTGCAATTGGTCCATACTGCAACGAAAGGAAAATCGTTATAAGACTAAAAGAACAGAAAAAAAAAATAGAAGTACAAGCTTCTCGACTGTATTCATCAGCCATTATTGTCAAGGATAGGAGTGCTTTTGCGCATTTGTTCCAAAACCCTGATAAAATTTCCTAGAAAACGAAGTTCGATAATTTCCTTCATTCCAAACAGTGAAAATCAGAAGCTATGATATATATTCGAATTTCCAAGAAACAACAAAGAGGAAAATTGAATTACCTTGTAGAATAAATCTTCGACTTCTCTCTCGCGAATATCGCCAGGCAGATTTCCAACATAGAGAGTCCTGCTCGCTCGGCTACTCATTTTCCCCCTAAAATAGTCAAGTTCAATTCAATAATCATCATAAAGAGATCGAAACAAGAAGAAACTGATGAAATTTCTGAAAGCCTGACCAGACAACGAGTTTTATCATTTTGTTTTTAAGGAAAATATGCAGAGTTCTTACCTTTCGATGAATTTGATGATCGGAGCAGCCTGGAAGACTAGGGTTTTGAAAGACTAGGAAACCAAGCGTGAATTAGTAAACATATAAGGGGTATTGTTATGGTAATGTTTGCCTGTTACGCAAACTACGCTTTCATCTTGTGCACCTTGCCTTTCTTTCAATCAACTGGTGGAGTAACGTCGACGTGTCCTTCTCATTCAAGGACCCACTTCTTTGAGAAATTTTTTATAATAAAAAAATAAATCTCATCGGGTGGTATCCATAACATTAAGATTTGTGTTTTTAGTACTAGGGTGCCAATTATTTTTTAAAAAAATGTTTTTTCTTGATTAAAATAATTTTTCATGTATATTTTTTATTTTTAGTATAAGTACCTTAAAATAATTTTAAAAAATTTAAAAATTTAATTAAATATTTAAAAAAAAATGTTTCTAAAAAATATTTAAAAAATAAGATCTACACACTTGTAAATAGATTTAAAATAGATAATAAAAATATATAAATAAATGATAAATTTAAAATAAATTTTTATCTTTTCAAAATATGAGATATGAGATAGACATATTTTCAAAAACACAACATATCATTTTTATTTTTTCTAAATTATCCCAGCTTTTAATTTTAAAATTATCCTCTCTTTTTTTTCAAGCAAAGAATTTTGAATGAGAAAGCAACGGGAGTGCTCTCCTTCTCAATTGATAATCCTCTTTTAAGTATATATCTTCTCATTCTCTTCTTTTTATTTCTTGTTTTTTTTATATTTTAAAAAATAATTTTTTTTATTTTTTTCTTTACTTTAAATTATATTTTTAAATTATTTTCATGTATTAATATCAAAAATAATTTTTAAAATATAAAAAAATATTATTTTGATTTTTTTAAATAAAAAATACTTTAAAAAAAACCTCAACCACACTCCAAAACATCCAATTAATTTATTTTTTAAGTCATGCTCTCTCTACTTATAAAAATCTTTGTATTGATGTTTTTTTATGGATTAAAAAATTAACATTTAAAATCATTTAAAAATAATTTTAACAAACTATATAAAATAAAAATGATAGTTCAAATATTTCAAGTTTGATGCTGGCTTATATTAAAGGTAAACAAGTTTATTATATCTTATTATGTTTTGTTTATTACCAACTAAATAAAATACAAAAAAAATCATTTTATTATGATTCAAACATATCTAAGTCCTTCTCTCCTATCATGTCACCTCCCTTGCATTATTCCTAAGATCATTTTAACACAGTACATTCACGAGAATCTAAAATTTAAATAGATATAAATTATTCCTAAAACTAATTTTAATTTTAAAATCACACGTGGAACATTTTATTTTAATTTATAATTACTTCTTTGCCCTTTTTTCCAATGTATTTTGTCAATTGATTTGATTTGGTGATGCACATTATCATTTTAAAAAATAATATATTATCAGGTAATCGTCAATGATAAACATGCTTCATTTAATTCGGCCACATGAATTGATAGTATAAATCAATATAGCATTTATAAGTATAAATCACTTCGACCACGTCAAATGGACATTTATATTTTTATTAATAATTTTTATATTTTTTATATATATACAACGTTTAGGGCATTTTTCTTTATACCTTCGAGATGGATAGCATGTCTGTCCATTGAAAAGTTTTAAATTTAAATTCTTTCTCATTCTACCAATTACGAGAATGCTTATGCTGTGAAATATTTTTTAAGCTTTAACTGTTGAGTCTGGGTTGGCTCGCTGTTTTTCGTTTGAAAAAAGACATGATTTTTTCACACCGTTAATTATTGCAAGCTAATGTGGTTTTGATGTGATAAATCAAGGGCATCATTTGTTAGCTTGAATGGGTTGTGATAAACTAACGTGGTTATGAAAATTTTACTGTATGTTATTCTATATTATGTGATGGTAGGATCATCATATTTATTAAGAAGAGAGGTAGTTGACCCCTTTAAAATTAAATGGTTCAGGTACTGCAACGACAAAATTGAAAATAAAAGAGAGAAAAAGAAAACCAAAAGAGAAGAAGAGGCAGCAGAGCAGCTTGCGTTCTTCCTTCGATTTCCAGCTCGTTCATTGTTGGATCGGGCTGAGATTTTGACAGCAGCTTCTAGACACGTTGATCTTCATTCTGGACGGTCGGATCAAAAATTGGTGATGTGGAAGGTGATTGTTTTGATAGAAAACGGGGCTGTCAGTATTGTGAGTTTTTCTTAAATAATTCTCTTTTAATCTTATTGTAATTAGAGAATAAGTTGTTCTTAATGATATATATATATATATTGTATCCCTTAGTTGAATTTGAGGAAGAATGATTGTGAACCCATTATTTGTTGATAGTGGAAGTTTTTAGGTGGACTACAGTCCCGTGGTTTTTCCCGTATCGGGTTTTCCACATTAAAATCTTGGTGTTGATTTTGTGATTATTTGTATTATGTTTGATCATTATTTGATTCTGTTTTACTGCATAAAAAGGAAAAGAATTGGGACTTGTGAATTATGAATTATGAATTGTATTCCGCTGAATTGATCCGGGTAAATTGGTGTCCGGTTATTCCTAGTTTTCCCAACAAATTTATAATGTCTTAATTCACACCATGTCATTGGTAACTAGGTTTCTTGAAAGAGCCCAGGCAATCACATGTTTATTTATGATGTTAGTCTTTTTCTTTAACCCGGGGACATGCATGCTCATGTCTTTGTTTATAGCCATTGTTTTTATGATTTGTTTTTTCTCTTTGTTTTATGTTTTTATACGTATAATATATGATTTGTGATAAATTCAAGTTTTAAACATGTAAAAAAACCTTGAATGCCAAAAATCTCACGTCCTTAAGCAATGTGTCTGGGACAAACCTTCCATGAGCTCATTCCTACAAAAACACTTAGCATCGTAGACTCGACTTGAAAAAAAGCCTAACTTTTATAAGCTCCGTTCACGGAAAAAGCTCAATTTTGCACACTCAACTTAAAAGGAAAAACTCAGCCCGCATAGTTACTGATCTATTATATTTTGGATCTCATTCTTTATATATTTTTAAGTATATAATGTTTTTTAAAAAACTTATTATATTTTCATCTTAAATATATTTATGTAAATAATATTTATTTTTTATTAAATATATATATAGAATATATTTATCTCTAAAAAATGCGAGGACAAAATACCTCCTCAGCTCCCTCTTTTTATAAAAAAAATAAGATATATAGATTAAAAAAATACTTTATGAATATTTCAAACTCCAAATTTATAATCTTTATCCTTTACTGTATATATATTTTCAAGTTTGTATCTTTAATATAATTTCAGTTTTTCTTATAAAAATATTTACTTAAATACTTACAAAATTTTTTTATATAAATACTAGTCACTGATTATCTTAACTTATCAAATATCAGCTACCAATTATCTTAACTATAAAAAATAAATTAAATTATTAAAATTAATTAATTATCCGACATATTAATCTTGTACTTAAGCTAATTTATGTTTTGGGGACATCATCCTTTTAAAACCAGTTAATTGTATACTGTTATTTTTGTATTATTTTATTATAAATACATGGATACATGTATGTGCGAAAAAGCTACGTGGTAAGTTGGGCTATTTACCTTGGGATTGATAAAGCTATGGCTCAAAACATGGTGACTGATCTCTTTTTTACTTTGATTTTAATTTTTATCGGGTCACTTAAGATCAACAAACCTGAAGGAGCATTGTGTTTAATATGCATTACATGTTCTAGATTAAAAAAATCAATGTGATTGAGTTTGGAACAAAATATGTTATCATGTTCCAAGTACCTTAAATATATTTTTTTGTAATTTTTTATTTATAAATGAAATGTCTTCTAATTAATTTCTATGCATGTTCTGACTGTCATTGTCATCTTAATTAAAACCGAGTTTTACTCTCTATTACAAGCATTTATTAACAACTTTTGTAGAAAAATAAAAAAGAGCCGATGTCATGCATTTGTTTTCTTTTCTTTTGAAAATCATCGATGAAACTCGATTAAGTGCACGCTGTATATTCAATACTGCAGCAGAACGCGAACAACAAATATAGTTAATATCTAACACTTAACATGGAAAACACTTTGTATTCTTGGAGTGCCTGCCATTTTACATTCCATCAATTTGAATCAAATCACGGGTATTTTATATATTTGATTAATATATATATAAAAAATAAAATTATTTGTGGTTTTCCAAACGAAGAAAAAGGATGGGAAAGGAAACGACGTAGTATAGTGCTGGCAAGAAAGTAAGAACGGTATTTTGGCTACGGCGGGCGGTGCAAGCGACAGCCCTAGAGGGAGAGATGGTGAGAGGAGGAGAAGCATTGAGTGCATACAGAGCGTTGCTAAGAGCGACTCGAAAATCGTTCACGGGCGACTCACTGATGCTGAAGGCATCAGCCTCCGAGGTTAGGAAGAAATTCGAGGAGAATCGTGATGTAAGCTCCGAGACTGAGATCCAGAAGCTCCTCGAAGAGGCGCGGGAAGCTTCCCATTTCATAGCTACCATGATCGTCCAAGCTAAACTCAACGACCGAGGCGGCTACGGTAATAAATCAATTACCATCTCATTTCTCTATGTCTGTCACGCTCTCTTTTACGCACTCCACCTGTTCATTAAATTGCTCATCTCACTGTATCTGAATGTACTGCGACGATTTTATAATAAATTATTGCTGCAGAAGTGAAGCCTGACAAGGACCATGCTGGAGCAACACTTGAGATTCCATCCGAAGAGATTCTCCGGAAATCTGTCTAAGGAGATGATAATGATGAAGAAGAAGAAGAATAGACTTGGACCACACCAAAAAACAAAGACATGTATCGGTTTCAAATTCTTCTTCTATGGCCAACTCTAATGACATTCTATTTGGAGTTCCCTGAGCAAGATTTTTGTGGTTTATCCATTATTGAAGCATTTTTCCCCGCTTTTGTGCTCCACGTTACCGACTTATGCAACTGGTAGTAGATTTACTGAATAACTAGATATAAAGCCATCGCACTGGTTTTTGTTTTTCAGTCTTCTCTTTTATCCTTTATTGTTTTTGGTGGGGTTATTTTCAAGTAGCAAATATCAGTTTCAATTAAATTTTCTTGCCCGAGGCAGGATCTGCAATCTAGACCTTTAAATATTCAATTGCAGCAGCAATGTATGAACATTCGGGCAGCTCAGTCCTCACCCTCTATTGGATTTGAGTTCTTTCGTATATATATTTCAGGCTTTCAGCATCACTTTCTACAAGAAAAGCTACTGATCCAACAGGTCAATTTGCCAACAATGCCTTTTCGTCGTAGCTTCAGCAGCCTTTCTCCTTTCCCTCACACAGTCTCTGAAACCTGTCCAGGAGCAATCACCTCTTTATTTTTCAGAACCACCCATGTTTGCCAAGTTTGTATGTTGTGGACACCCTTAAGAAGTTTGATTTGGGTGCATTAGCTAGGCTACTTAATCACCTGCAGCCTGAATCTGCTATGAGCTGCCCATGATGCCAAGTAACAGTGCCTCCTTGTGCCTTCGCCTAATAAAAAAATTGAAACATGGGGCTCCCGCTTATCATGTCAGCTGTGTTATCACTGTGTTTTTTGTGAACGTTACACTGCATATTAAAATCCTGTACAGTATTAAAAAGAAGTTGAAGGTTGTTTCACGATCTTCTGCTACTGTATATGGGAGGATGGAAGGTAAACTCCAGTGACATTCTGTTGCGAGTGCTTTGAGCAGAATTTTGCTATTTTATGTGTTGTTTTCATCCATTATTGAAGCAGTAATTTTCCGTGTACAGTTTGTTGCCAACAGCTTCTGCACTGATAGTCTCTATCATTCAATGTCTATAACATGTGAAGGCCGTTGCCTTGAGGTTTTCTTACTTATCATTTGCGTGTTTCCTCAAGTTTTTGCTCTTCCTCAGTTCTCTTTTACTTCATGTTTCTCACCTGGTTCAAGCGTGACGTGTTATGGAGGCATTCTATTAAATTTCAGGCTTAGCTGGTCTTTCAAGTTAAATTCTCAGGACTCCATTGCTGCTATAGCTTCAACCACCTTTGTATTCATCTGCGTAGTCTCTCAAACCTTGTTAAGAACAATCATCTCTGATTTGCCAACGATCACCCATTCGCCATGTTTTATGCCCTGACACCCTTGAAAACTTAGTTTTGAGCGTGCTAACAGGGAAATCAAGCACCCGGACTGTTGACCTGCTGTGAACTGTCCATGCCAATTGACAGCTTTAAGCACCACTGTGTCCTCGTGCTTGAAGATCCTATATGGAAACTGCAAAGCACTTGGCTTGCGCTGCTCACTATTTCATGCTCTCAAGTTAAAATCCTAGTGCAAGACTCCACCCACCTACATTTAGGTAACGCAACCCCCTAAAATGAAAAATCAGGTTGTTGGTCGCAGTTTGACTCAGCTTTTTGTTAATTGTGAAGTTTGCACATTAAACTCCTTTGAAAAAGCTTACAACGCTTTTCTTACCCCCCACCATCCCCTTTTTTCTGGCGAGTGGAAATTAGGTTAAAGAAAAAGTATAGCTTTCTTCTTCAGTGGCCATGAGTGAAAAAAATAATGCATTGCTCAGCTTCTCAAGAGAAGTGCTACAAAAGTCACAAAAACAAAAATAAACTGAACGTGAAGTGCTACTGCTTCACAAAACTCCCAAAATTTCTCTAAATTAGTATCCTCTCCCTACATAGGCACATTTGGGTTGAGACTGCCGACTTTCTCACTACCACTGAATGACTCCGGATGTTTACTGCCGTTCACTCCAATTGCTGACTTGGCTAGTCACTATCTTCATCATTTTCTTCAACATCATCATTATCATCTTCAGCATCTCCCCCATTGTTCTGATTCTTTTCCTGCCTGTTCTCACTTGCAGTTCCTGAATAAACAAGCATTAGGACGTGAGTCTAACAATTCATTGTTCAGTAAATTTTTTAACAGAAGATGACCATGTGGAAGAAAGCCAAAACTTCCAGGAAAAAGGACAACATAATTCAAGAGGAACTAGCACCCAGCAGCACATTGGGTCTACCCAAGGATTTATGCTATTTTAATTGGTTGGAGCGTGCAGGAAAGAGAGACAAACATGGCTCAGTTCCAGGGATTAGTACGATGCTAAAAGAGCTCCAGGCAATTTGGTGGCCAAATATGTGTAGTTGCATGCGCACAGGGAGGAAACCAAGAATTAGGGGTGAGCAACGAACTAAAGATGTGATGAAATGAAAAGGGAAATTAACATAATATTAGGATCATGAATGTTCCGTAACCATACAGTATATAAAAAAAGGAGGAGGAAATTACCAGTACATTAGGATCATGGATATTCCATAACCTATATAATAAACATACCATATTCACTGAAGATGACACCACCAGAACACAGTCCTTCCTCAATCTTCACAAGTTGAAGAGTCATTCTGGGGCCAATTTCTTGGAGCTTCACAGCACTTTTCGTAGAAGCTTTATTGACTCTACCAAGATCATTTGCTAGAGTTACTGTTGCTGTTTCATCATCTCCTTCACTTTCTGATCCATAACCAGCCCTTCATAGATAGCACAAAAATAAACAAAAATACATGAGCAAAGTAGGCTATAATAACTACATACACTAAGTTTCATTTCCTATTTTCCTTGTTTGTTTCTCTTTTTATTCAATTTGATAACGAGTTTATGGCATGGATATCCTTAGACTGGGATAGGCTGGTTTATTGTTTTGCACAAAATAAGATTAGGGTACAAATCTACCATAAAGCCTAATGCCATAAAACTGATGTTTCCTCAAAACCAGCCCTACAGTGGTGGAGCAAATCGATATGTCCCATCTATTCAGTGCAGCCACAAAAGGATTGGTCAGTATATAATCAAACTATTAGGTCTTCTTTACCCTCTTCTGTAATTTCTTAAAGGATGCCACGACTTTTGAAATCCTCATGTCTCTATTTAAGACATGCTAGGAATGATAATATGGAGGCTAAAGACTGGAAACATGTAACTAGTTATACTATAATGTACATCCCCTTCATTCTTTAGCAAACACATTTTCTTAGTAGATTCAAATGGCAACTCCAGATAAATTAAGAAATATCATATTTGATGTAAAATTACAGATTAAAAAAGTTCTTACTTAGATACAAAATCGCTCACGTCTTGGAGATTCCTAAGATCAGGGACTTGGTGGTTCTGCACAAACTTTCTGAGTCTACGGGAGACACCTACAGGCTGGAGTCTGATGGAATAATGCCGAAAATCAATAAGTTTTGTGTCTTTATTGTAATTAAGTAACACAATTCTCTGGCAAGAAGAAAGTTTGACCTGAAACATCCCACACGAGTATATTAGGAGGGCTAGCAGTCTTGCCTGATTCCAACATTTAATTAGAATTTTCTTAAGCACTTACAGTATTAACATCAATGGCTGGAAAGATATTCTGAAACATCACAGTTGTGAGTTTTAAGTGTTGTTCTCCAGACCCAAAACCAGAAAGAACAATCTGCAAAAAATGCATGAATCAATGTTTGGAAATAGAAGTCAAAGAGGCGATGATAAATTGAGAGTTCGATCACCTATTTAAAACAAAATATGCGTTAAACTAAAATGTAAGAATGCAAACACAGGTGAGCCGCATTCACAATCCTTCAGTTGCAACTATGAGATATTCTGCACTGAAATCTTCTCGGTAGTTTATAACCTTTTATAGTTAAAATTTAAAACCAATAACTGAAATGGAGAATGGAACAGCATGTGGTGTTTAGAAGACAAATCAAGTAGATGGCCTTCCATTTTCATTAGGAGTCATGTGGTATTTTGTACTCTAGAACCCAATTCTCAAGGCATGATTTGAAATAAACACACTTGTCACCTGTCATGCCAAATGCTGGTGGTGTCCAAGTATACCGAGCAAGGATAAAAATGAGCAGTCAGTTCAAAAGTGAAGTGAATGCATGCTTGCATGTGTTTTGAGAGAATGCAAACTTTTACCAAAGGGGCATTTTTGAAAAGATCTTGTGGACATCTAGGGCGCAATTGAGATTGAGCAACATCAACTGCCAGTGAATACTCATGTATCTTAAACGTAATAGTTGGGCCTTGTGGGGTCCTTGCAACCCTCAAATAGGGTGCACTTTCAGTTTTCGACAACATAAGGAAGTGGGTAACACCCATAGGCCCGGCAACATTCAAAAAGTCCTTGAGACTATTCCGTTTCTTCTCCTAAAACCAAAATGCAAAATGTAAGAAACAAATCAGTGTATTTAACAAGTTATAATAGAACCACATGAGGATTAAAAACCCATATAAGAAAAAAATCTCAAATAGAAACTGGTGAGAGATACCAATTCAGCACATATATCTCAATACAAACAGTTGCTCACAAAAAAAAAAAAAGGAGTTTAAGAAAACAAAGAAGCAAAAAAACATTTACCTTGAGCTTGAGAGCAGTAAAGGGCAGCATCAACTTTCTCAAGTTCATTTGAAGTTGTCTGAGGGGGCCAGGCAACTTCCCTCTTGCAAAAACAAAGCTCTTAGGGATCTTATCACCAGTGATATGATCCACATCGGCCTGTTTCTTTTTCGATGTTGGCTTCACGAACATCTTCCTATTTTTCTGTATGAATTCCAACAACAATAAAACAAACCCATTAGAGAAAAAAAAAAGACATAAAAATGGATTAAGAAAACATCAAAATCAGTTCAGTTTCTCCTCAGTATCATTGACTTACATTCCGTAAACGAGCCATTGCTTTGTCCGATACTGGCAAACTGAATTTCAGTCAAAGCTTCAAATCTTCCTAATTAAATAGCTACAGCACCTTGAATGAACATGAAAAGAAAAGAGAACGCGGTGAGAATAATTATAATTAAAAAAAAAGAACGAGTATAACAGCAAACTCTAGGGTTTTTTCTAACATAATTTTTCAAGTTGAATAAAACAGATTAGAGCCATATGATTTTAAGCTAATTTGACTTAAGCTCAGTAATTTAAGGCATTAAAATTCGATCAAGTATCAAACAACATTTATTTTCTATTCCTAAAAGAAGCTTGTCTTTCTCACACAAAATCAAA